GACGGTCATACTTATTTAGTTTGCAAATTTTGCATTGATTTACTATTGAGCGGATTTTGGATTGCATTTTTGGAAAGTAATATTTAGCTAAAATTTGTATCTTATTTTCGCGATCATTTCTATGGGCGCGATTATGTTCAGTAATAATGATGTTTTCTTGTTCGGATTGGTTAGAAATATCTGTAATTATTTTGCGTGAATAACGTATTCTATATCTATTAAAGTGTTGTGAGCAAATTTCTTGAATTATGCCTAATATTCTGTCTTCCGTTTTTATACAGTTAGTAACTGAAGGGTTCAAGTATTTTTTTAAAAGCTGTGTCAGGTTATCAAAATTAAACTCTTGTTCTGTAATGAGATGTCGATGATATGTGGGAAAAATGATTTCAAATTGATAAGAAGGGGTTTCTCCAATAGATAAAATTAATTGATTTTTGAAAACATTAATGGGAGTGTCAGTGAATTGTATTAAATTTCCAGAAGAACTTTCGTCACTGTGTTGAGTAGCTGTCATTGAATTCACTTCAGCATTTTTTGGTGATCTAGATAATGCGTCTGCTACTACATTCATTCTACCGGGTTTATAGACAAGTTCGTAATTGTACTCTTCTAGTATAGCTTTCCATCTTTTTAACTTGTAATTACAATTTTTATTGCTTAAGGCATGTGTTAGCGGTTGATGATCTGTGAATATTTTGAACTTAGCTGATCCATATAGGTAATTCCTTAGCTGTTTAAGGGCCCATACTATTGCGAGCATCTCTTTCTCGTTTGTGGCATAGTGCTCTTCAGCTTTATTTAATGTTCTTGATATAAAAGTGATCGGTTTGTCTTGTTGTGCAAGTGCTGCACCTATTGCATACTGTGAAGCGTCTGTGGTAAGTTGAAATTCAATTTCGAAGTTTGGATAAGATAATAGAACATCTTCTGAAGTTAATGTTCTTTTTATTTTGTTGAAGGCTTCAATTGCATTTTCATTAAAAGTTATTTGTTTTTTTCCTGATTCTTTTTTGGACATTCGTCCCTCTTCCCCCCTTAAAAGAGCCGTCAAGGGTTTTGCAAGCTTAGCGTAATCTCTAATAAAGCGGCGATAAAAACCTGAGAGGCCTAAAAATGATCTCAACTCTTTGATTGTATTTGGGTATGGGAACTTCATAATCTACTTTTGCTGGATTTGTTTTTATTCCATTTGAGGAAATAATGAACCCCAAAAATTCGACTTCACTTTTCAGAAATTCGCATTTATTGAGTTGAATTTTCATATTTGCCTTTTCTAAGGTTTGAAAAATTTTTTCAATATTATTAAAGTGGGTTTTCTCATCAGCACCGAATATTATTATATCATCTATGTAAACATAACATGATTTTCCAATGTGTTCTCTAAGAATATCATCCAAAGCTCTCTGGAAGATGGAGGGTGCGTTTTTTAATCCGAATGGGAGTCGTGTAAACTCGTATTTCGCATTATTAATAGAGAAGGCTGTCTTCTCTATATCGGATTCTTTGAGTGATATTTGGTGAAATCCACTTTTAAGATCAAGTACAGAAAAAAAAGTATTTTTACCTAATTGTGAAAGAACTTCATTGATATCAGGAATCGGATATCGATCAGGAATTGTAACTGAGTTCAGTTTCCTATAGTCGATTACTATTCTATATTTTTTTGTTCCTGTAATATCTAGTTTTTTAGGAACAATCCACACTGGTGAGTTATAGGGTGATTTTGATTTTCTTATTATACCATGTTCAAGTAATTCCGAAATTTGTTTTTCGACCTCGTCCTTTAGTGACATAGGGTATGGATAGTATCGTGAGTAAATGGGGGTTTCTGAAGTAGTTCTAATTTCTCCTTTTACTGTTGTCGTGAAGGTGAGCTTCTCATTAGGCTCAGTAAATAAGTTAGTATATTTTTTTGCTAGTTTATCTATTTTTTGTTTTTGTTCTTCTGACATATGGTTAGTTCTAATGTTTATATTGTTAACTGATTGAGTTGTTTGCTGTTTAATTTTAATTTTAATTTTATTCTGTATTAACATGAAATCATTTGCGGTATGGATGACAGCAGATAAATCTTTAAGGCTATCGTTTCCTAAAATAGCATGAAAAGATTTAAGCGTCGGTAAAATAAAGAACTTAATGTCTATTGACCTTAGACCGAATAAGTTCAGTTTTGTATGGTGGGTTATTTCGATTTTGCCTCCAACTGAGTTGGCAAAAAAACTATTATCATTTAAAATGGGGTTTTTAACGAGATCAGGCTGTATATAATTTTTGTTAGAACCAGTATCGATTAGAAATTTCAAAATTTTTCCGTCGCTCGTCTTACATTCAAAATAAGGTAGAGACGAGCTCTCTAACCTAAAAAATGTATATCAGCAAAATCGTAAGACATTACGTCATTGTTGATAAAATCATTTCTCGTTTGAGATTCCATGTAATCATCAAAGGAATCCTGGAGTACTTCACTATTTTCTTCATAGTAATTATGAATACTTTGATTATATGCGTCTTCGTCTATTTCATTGTTCTTGTCTAATGGAGTTGTGGTTTGTATGTGAAAGTTTCTTTGCTGTTTAAATGGATAGGGTAGTTGTTGAGGTGGTGGTCTTTTTCCTGAATATTGATTATTCTGGTATGGTCTATTTAAATAATTTACAGCTTTAGATTTTATAGTTTCATCGATATCCATTCGTTCAGGTTTCGGCATTGGTTTTGGAGCAAATGGTCTAGGAGGTGGCATATTTCGTTGAAAATTTCCAAAATTGTTATATGTTTGTTGCATGGGATGATATGGTTGTGCTTTATTACAATAGTATTGTGTGGGCTGGATCGCATTTGGTATAGGCATGTATTGTTGTTGGTTGGGCATATATTTGGGGTTATTGTATCCTAATGGACTTTGAGGACTTGGGACATGAGCTAATTGAGGATAAAATTTATGTTGTCCATGAACATCTATTGCTTTACGTGGTGGTAAAGGTGGTGGTTGTCTATGAATTTTTCTGCTATTAAAATTTGTAGTGTTAGCATAATGGGTGCGGTATTGCTGGTTTTCCAGTTTTAAGCACAAATGAAGGGCTTCAGGTAAATCTTGCGGTTCTCGCATACCGAGTAATCGACTTAAATCTCCTCTTAGACCTCTTATAAAAGTATCAAGCGCTTTATCTCGATAAGTTTTTATTAGTAAAGACATTGATTCTGGATTTATATTCATACAAGATATTTTATTTATTATTAGAGATAAATGTGAGTACACACATTGATAAAAATTTTGGATAGTCTGATTTTCTTGAACGAGTGCAGTCATTTGATATTCTAGAGTGGTTAGATCTCGCTTATCCGCGTAATGGAGATTTAAACACCGCGATATAGCGTTCCAATTTAAAGGTGTATTATATGACTCTAAAATAATATCAGCATCACCAACTATTTTGTTTCTAATAACGTTCAATATTCCAAAATATTTAGGTGTACCTCTGTATGTTGTATAAATTTGAAGAATTCTTTCTACGCTCTTACGCCAAGAACTGTATTCTCCTACATTTCCAGAAAATCTGGAATTTTGTCTAACTCAGATATATTTTTAAAGTGTTCCGGCAAAATTATTTCCTCCCTTTCTAACTCTGTCTCATTGGGATGTATTATTTCTTGTACTAATATGGGGCATATTCTTCTAATGCAACCTGCGATTGCCGCTTCTAATGCTGGCGACAAATTACAATCACTATTGTTCCCTAAGTTTGGATGTACATTTTGGGATTGTAGTGTAATTGGTTGCTGAATGGATTCTAGAACTGGGGGCCTGATTAGATTTGATGGATTGGCCATTTTTTTTAATTTGTTTTAATTTTTAATTAATATTTTTAATAATTTAAATAAGATTTAAATATAATTTGAATATAGTTTTAGTATAGTTAATATAATTTTGGTTAAGTTTTAATATAATACTTATATAAATTTAATATGATTTTAATGTAGTTTAATATAATATTTTAATATAATTTTTATATAGTTTCAAAATAATTAATATAGTTTAATTTTAATTTAAGATTTCTTTTAATTTAATTCCGAATTTTTGTAATTTCAAATTTTATTTAGCAAAATTCTTTATATAATTTTTCTTAGATGATAATTTATTAATAACTTGCACTAAAATGATTTATAATATCATACTTTGCTGGCGGTGAGAATTTATTCCTTTTTACTTTTTGCTACTTAGGATTCTACGTCCGCTCTCCTGCAATAAGGTTACCTTGTGTCACTGAATGAAAATATATCAAATCTTTTTCCCTCGATTTCCTTCTATAGAACTTAATCGCGATTGAGATTACTTAACGTTACACGATTTTTTATTATTTCGCGCAAGTGATATTTATAGTTTATTAAAAAACTGGTTATCGTTTCCACTGTTTTTGTAAATTGGACACTTTCTCGCTTATTGACACGTTGTTAACGTTGGGCGCCAATTAAATAAAATAAAATACTTTTATTTTATTAATTAATTTTATTTATTATTATTATTATTTATTATTATTTATTATATTTATTATAATACCAAATAATTTTTATTTATTATATTTTTTATTTGTAGCTCTACTTTATTTATTTAATATCAATTTAACACTTGTAGCTCATACTTAAGACTGACTTAAAAATAAAAGTCTCTCTCCATTTTGCACATATGCACCTGTATTAAGAATAATGTGCAAAGTGAAGATAAAAGAGCCAACCGAACTCTCAGAGAACAATTTATATATTTTTTTTGTTCTGTTCGTTAACTTATACTCTAAATCCACTGTATTTAAATTATAAAATTTAAATTTCCAATTTAAAACAATTATACATTTTACATAAATTAAATTACAAAATTATATACTCTAAATTTGGTGAAAATAATTTAATAAAAATTAAAGTTACAATTGAATTCAAACATTTCGTTTGTTTTACTATTCGAGAATAAACATTGGCGACCGTGACAGGACACGTGTCCTAGCAATAAAATGAATACCGATAATGATAACAATCCAACCAGCAATGCAAGCAATAATGCAGCTAATACGGCTAATAATGCAGTCAATACAAGTAATAATTCTGCTCTTAATTTAAATAATTTAAAGCAGCAGCGATCAACAGTGAAAAGGAACATGACCTCGATTCGATCTAAAATAGATAAGGAGAAGGACGAAATAGATCCAACAATTCTGGAATGTCGACTACAAATTCTAGAATCTCATTTCAAACAATTATGCCATATTCAATCACAAATCGAACAATTTAATCCAGAAGGCAATGCCAGAGCTGATTTTGAAGAGCTATTTGTTGTTTCAAAAGCGAAAATACTTAATTTGCTTAAAGAAACTCGAAGTAATACTTCATTTGAAAACAGTGTGATGAATACAACATCCAATTTCAGTGTTGCCCACAGTTCTCGTTTACGATGTTTAAAATTGCCAACATTTGACGGAAAAATATGCCAACTACAATCGATTTATCGCAGCATTTAAGCATTTGGTGCACAATGACCCAACCTTATCTGATGTCGATAAATTCAATTATTTATTATCATGTCTTCCAGGCCCTGCACTTGCAGTCATCGAAGCTTTTCAAATTACAGCAGAAAATTATCCAAAGGCTATGGCACGATTGAAAGAACGTTTCGATAATAAGGTATTAATATTCTTAGACCACATTACTGAACTCTTTAATATGCCAGGAATGACTAAAGCTGATCCGGCTTCTCTACGTAAATTAATTGATATTGTTGCAGCATTAAGATCATCATTGCTTTCATTGGGCTCAGAAGTAAAAGTTATGAATGCCATTATAATTTATATAGTCCTAAGTAAAGTTGATGCAGAAACAAAATTTGCACATGACGAAAAGCAAGAATTTGAAAAAATGCCTTCTTGGGACGAATGTTATAAGATGTTAAGTCGGCGTTGTCAATTTCTTGAAGGACGAGCTACGTCCATTAACGCTTCCGAAAATAAATCATGAAATAATTTTAATACTGTACCAAGAAGAGTATTACAAACGCATCTCAGTGTCAAATCTGGTTGTGAATTTTGCAAGGCAGCTGACCACTTTTTAGGAAAATGCCCTTCGTTTTTAGCAACGCCAGTTTCTCAGCGCTTTGACTTTGTTAAGAAAGCAGGCTGCTGCATAAATTGTTTGACAAAAGGGCACTCCGTTACAAAATGTAAATCCGAATCACGTTGCAGAATTTGTCGTTCATCACATCATACTCATTTACACAAATTTACAAATACTTTGATTAATTCATCAATTAGTTGTCCAAGTATCGCAATTCAAGAGCAAGGACAGCTACAACAATCTAATAGCGCTGTAACATCATTATTAATTCAGTCTTCAAAAAGATCAATTATTCCTACTGTTCTGGTATTTGTGATGGACAAGTTTGGGATTAAGCATCCAGTGCGAGCACTTTTAGATTCCTGTTCCGAATTAAACTTTATTACAGAGGAAACAGCCAAATTATTGCATTTAAAATCGAAATACTCTACTCAAGAAGTCTTTGGTATTTCCAATTTGAAAACACATTTCAATTATAATGTATTTGCAACTGTGCATTCTCGCACGTCCGATTTTGAATGGTCTTCTCAGTTTACAATTACGAAATCTATTTCCTCCGTAAACCATAGCGCCTACATTAATGCAACATAATTTCAAATTCCTACTAATATTCAATTAGCGGATCCATTATTCGATAGACCTTGTCAAGTGGACATGCTGATTGGTGCAGAAATCTTCTTTGATTTATTACTTGAGGGCAAAATTTCGTTAGGCAAAGACATGCCATATTTAATTAACACTGTTTTCGGTTGGGTAGCAGGAGGCACGCATAGTACAGACTTATGTTCTAAATCATTTGAATGCAACTTTACTCAAAAATCACACAATGAAGATACATTTCTTGAACGATTTTGGGAATTAGAAGAATACAAAATAAGCTCCCCGCAACTCAGCGCAGAGGAGAAAAATTGCGAACAGCACTACATCAAAACAGTAACAATCAGCGAAAATGGGCGAGTTCAAGTAAGATTACCTTTTAAAGTCAACCCCGATGTTTTAGGAAAATGATTTCATCTAGTTAAACAACGTTTTCTTTCACTGGAGTATAGGTTGCAACGAGATCAAGTTCTATACAAAATGTACTCAGAGTTCATGAATGAATATGTATCATTAGGGCACATGTCTAATATAAAAGCAGTAGATTTCTCGAAGCCACACTATTTCATACCACACCACTGCGTTTTAAGGCCTCAAAGTCTCACAACAAAGCTTTCGTATTTGATGCTTCAGCAAAGACTTGCTCTAAGTATTCTCTAAACGACACACTTATGGTTGGACCGACTATTCAACAAGATTTAATAACTACGCTCATGGCATTTCGATTACATAAGTATACATTGACAGCGGACATTGCAAAAATGTACCGCCAATTTTTGATGGACAAACGTGATAGATGGTTCCAGTTAGTGTTGTGGCGAGATAATCCTCACGCTGAATTACAGATTTTTCAATTAAATACAGTGACGTATGGAACATCATCCGCTCCGTTTCAGGCTATTTGATCGCTCTTTCACATTGCCGACATGCATATTCATAAATTTCCAATTGGTGCTTCTACGTTAAAAACAGATCTCTATGTTGATGATCTTCTCACCGGCGCTAATACTATTACTGAATTACTAAACAAACAAATAGAAATTACAAACTTACTATCAAAGGCTGGATTACAACTCGCAAAATGGAGTTCTAATTGCGACAAAGTAGTGTCGAGCACTGATGAAAGTTTCAATATCAAATCTAGCGCAGATCCCATCACGAAGGCATTAGGCATGGTTTGGAAACCAAAAAGTGATTTATTCTGTTTTGAATAAGAAATTCCGACTCATGACATTCATACAAAGCGATCGGTTCTATCAACTGTGGCTAAAATTTTTGATTTGTTGGGACTTTTAAGTCCAATTATCGTACGATGTAAAATTCTAATTCAGGAAATTTGGATACAAAATTTGAGTTGGGATGAAACTCTGCCTCCAAAGTTACTAACATTATGGTTAAACATAAGAGATGATTTATACTTTTTGTTATATCTGTATAATTTCGATATTTATTATTCAAAAAACTCCTAGTTATTATTATTTCACAAGTTCAAAATAACTGACAGAATTAAAATGTTAATTCTTCTTTATATGTCATCTGTCATCTTGGCAGAGTTGCCAACACCTCCCCTTTTGAGATTAAATCTCCAATGCGGTGATTCTAGGGTCTATAACGGTCAATAGGATGTCTAGTACGCCTTGGTCGGGTATACGGAACAACTGCCTCATTGTGCTTCTCAGTTTGAGGGATTGCAATCTCGGTAACTTCGTTGAAAGATTGATCTGGAGTCGAAACCATGTTGTTGTTAGTTATTTCGACCACATCTTTAGGTGTTGTTTCGTAGAGGACAAATGCATCAACTAAACACTTTTCGTTGGCGATATCTTCGGAAGTACATATTTCTAAAGATAACTCATTTTCTTGATCTTTTCGGTCACGAATTTGGTTGGCATGTGCACGAATAAGTTTGCCATTTTGTAAGCGAACATTATAAATGACGTTACCTATGCGTTCGATTATTTTTCCTTTTGTCCATTCAAAGTGTTTGTTTTTAAATATATTGACATAAACGAGCTCTTGTTTTTCGTAAAACTTTGGCTTTGCACCATGCCTTTTGTCAAATTGCGCTTTCATTTTGAGTTGTGTATCGCACTTGTTTTTAAACTTGGCATCTAATTCTTGCAAAAATATCCTCTGAAAGCGGTAGTGTATACTTGTAAGATTCAAGCGTGTCGTTAAGACCAGTTGAGAAATCAGCGCAAATACGAATGCTACCATTTGGCTTTTTGATAACTACGATTGGTGCGGCCCAGTCAGAGTAATTGATGGGTGCGATAATGTCGAGATCTTGAAATCGCTTAATTTCTTCTTCAACCAAATGTTGAACTGCGTGTGCTACCGGGCGCTTAGGTCGAAAAACAGGTTGACAGTTTGGTTTAATAATTAAATGTGCCTTAGTTTTATTACAAAGACCCATAGCATTATCGAAAAGCTCTGGAAATAATTTTTCCGGAAGAAATTTGCAATTTGACGACTTTATTGAAACATTACTTGCCTGTTTTGTTGTTGAAATTTGGCTGCAAATAGCATTAAGCGTCATATCGCTAAGTTGAAAAGTAGTTATCCAGTCCAATCCGAATACGTTCAAATCGATCGTTGTAACGAAGCACGTAAGTGTTCTAATTGTGTCTTTTAACTGCACATCACATGTAAATTTTGCGTACAATGGTAAGTTTCCAGTTGCACTTTTAGCAGATTCTGGTTGTACTTCCATTGTATATAAAATATTTAATTTGTCGAAATTAAATTTTGAAATGATAGTTACGTCCGATGCAGTATCAAATTGCAATTTGATTCGCACATTGTTGATTTTAACGTGGACATATTTACGCTGTGAAGCTGTGATGCTGTTTGTTGTGTATATACTGTTGGATCGTGGCTGTGAAAATATTTTTGCTTTACCATTGCTATTATTTTTGTTGTTGTCATTGCATTTTGATTTTGATGAATTTTTCGCATTGCAATAACCTTTTTTATGGCCTATGTTGTGACAGTCTTCGCATTTATAATTTTTGTATGGGCAGTCACGCACATAATGCATTGCTCCACAAAACCAGCATGGTGTTTTCGGTTTGTGATTGTTCTTAAGCTTATTTGCTTGTACTCGATTCACCTGATTTTCGCGTGATTTATTTTCTACCAGCGCTGTGTCGGATTTTAAATTAATAATACGCTGACATTCGTTTGTAAGTTTTTCCAAGTTGATAGTATCAGCTTCTGTGTCCAGTTTGGTCAATATTCGGGTTCTTATTTCGAAGTCTGCTTCCGATTTCAGCCCCAATACAAACATTAAACATTTGAACTGGTCCAGTGACAGGCTATTCAATTTAAAATTTTCACATTGTTTATTAACCTCGGCTGCGTACGTAGTATAGTCGGTATCTGGTGGTTTGGTTAACTGTAAGCAGCTATAGCGTAAGCTGAATTGTGACTTTTGGAGTCCAAACAGTTGTTTTAATTTCTCCACTGTTGTAGTGAAATTATATTCACGTGGGTGCTTAGGCAAAATAAAGTCCATATATTTATTATGTACAGTTGTACTGAGTTTCCTTAATAGAAGCCTGACCTTCGCTGCGTCATCAAGTTTGCTACCATCTACTAAAAACAAATCTTCATACCTCGTATACCACGTTTCAAATGTTAAGTTATTTTCTGGATCATAAACAAATTCCGTAAGACTCGATGCTAAAATCTCCATTGTTTGCTCCGGTTTTTCTGTTTTTGAAACTGCTTCAGTATGCATTTTCATTTGCAAACACTCCTTGAAAAGTTCACGCATTGCTTCCGTGTCTTTCGCACGTTGGTTTTGCATTTCTTGGAAAAATAACTGGAATTCTTGTGGATTCATTTTTTTTTTTTGTGTACATATGTTTTTCAATGTAATGCCAAAAAAAATATCCTCGTCGCCACTGTTATATCTGTATAATTTCGATATTTATTATTCAAAAAACTCCTAGTTATTATTATTTCACAAGTTCAAAATAACTGACAGAATTAAAATGTTAATTCTTCTTTATATGTCATCTGTCATCTTGGCAGAGTTGCCAACACTTTTTAAATTCTATTAATGTACCTCGTTATGTTTTTACTGACAGTTAAATTAAGAGTGAAGTTCACGGATTTTCCGATGCTTCACAGCGTGCCTACGATTGTTGCATTTATATACGTACAAGATTGAATGATACATGGAATGTAACTCTTTTAATTGCTAAATCAAAGGTAGCGCCGATTAAGGCACAATCCCTACCGAGGCTTGAACTGTGTGCAGCACTCTTGTTAAGTAGAACATGGTATAAAGTCATGTCCAAGGTTGAACAATTCGTGAATTCAGTATATTTTTGAACAGATTCTGAGGTGGTATTACAGTGGCTACAAATGCATTCATCTTCTCTTAATTGTTATGTAGCAAATCGTACATCAGAAATTCAAGAAATGACCAAAAACATCAAATTGCATCACGTACCATCTAAAGACAATCCTGCAGACATTGTTTCTCGCGGTTGTAATACTGAAGAATTACCTAAAACAATATGGTTCCGCGGACCTGCATTTTTGTATTTACATACAGATCAATGGCCGTTACGTAAAATTGGTGACATTAAAGCACATCCAATAGAACTGCGCAAGACGCTCACATTAAAGTGCAGAAAGATTGATAATGAGAACTCAATACTTTTAGAGATAATACACAATAATTCGTCTTACTATAGAATTTTACGTATATGTACTTATATTTTTCGAATGTTTAACAAAGAATGCCCTGACAAACAATTAGAGCTAACTGATATCATGCACATATCATCAAAGGAATTAGACATCACCTTTTGGAAAATCATTGCTGAAATACAACGTGTAACCTATTCACATGAGATCAATTTATTGGAACGTGGTAAGACCATAAGCAATAACTTACAAAAACTTTCTCCGTTCCTACATACAAATGTGGAAGGCAACAATGAGATAAAAATTCTTCGAGTTGGTGGAATACTACTAAATGCAGAAATTCCGTTTGATGCTAAATCTCCAGCGTTGGTTCCGAAACATGATCGATTTGTGCAGCTTTATATTGACTTTCTACACAAAGAAAATTTACATGCTGGACCAAAGGTATTAATCGCTCTACTCCGTCAGAAATTGTGGATAATTAATGCAAGAGAAGCAGTGAGAAAGGTTGTTAGCTCATGCGTTCACTGTTTTCGGTGAAGCAGTGAATCAAATTATGGGAAACTTGCCAGCTGACCATCTCAAGGCTCAACGTCCATTTTTGATTAGTGGCATCGATTTTTGCGGACCATTTTTCACATCATACCGAATACGAGGCAAAGCTCCTTATAAAACTTATGTAGCAATATTTGTTTGTTTTGCTTCGAAGGCATGTCATATCGAAGTAGTCACCGAATTATCAACTAATGCATTTCTTCTTTGTCTCAAAAGATTTATTGCTAGAAGAGGTGTTCCACAACGGCTATATTGCGATAATGCAACAAATTTTGTAAATCAATACCTTTGTCAGCAAAAACCAGACAAGGGTCCCTTCCTGCTATTACGCCTGACCACGTCCGTCAGCAATTGCCAAACGCTCGTTGTCCCATACGCCTTCTAACAGTGTTTGTGACTCGTCGTCCATTCCTCCATCAGCTATGGTCAAATGGAAAACTGGATGACTAGTTAAACTACCTAACGCCAGCATATGCCAAACGAATCAACATGTGCCTGGACCAACTAGTCCGAGCTCCCACTATCATCCCTAACAAATAGTTCTTAACTGTAACAGGAGAAATTCCAAATAGAACGATTAGGCAATTTCGCTGTCCTTTTATTTTAAATTCCCTCTATTACAGGCAAAAACAAAAATTATCTTCAAGTAAACAAGGTCCTGTAAATTTGTCAAAACAAATTTCTTATTGTTGTACGCATTGCAATCAAATTCAATAAAAATAACTGCATCATATAAAAAATGAGTGCACGATATTTTCTTAAATTTGTTTATGCAGACAAACAAGTGAAATAGTTACAACAAATTTAACTAACTTTTATTAGCGGCAAAAAATTAATCAAAACATATTTTAATTTACAGGGTCATTCGTTTATACAAAATGTTTGTCTCTAATATGAAATTTACAGGGTCATTTGTTTATAATAAAAATGGATGTTACTGTAGGAAAATTTTATTGAATTTAGAAACATGTTTTTACTAAGAGGATTTAAAACTCATATTAGACTATTCATTTGATTTGTGGGGTTAAATTTTAGAATAAAATTTGGGCCTTACGGCATCAACTTTGATGTGTTCAAGATCAATGAATCTATTATTTGTGAAGCTATTTGTTACGCCGCAGAAGGGCTCTGGTCCAATGAAAGGAGTACATGCACCCTTCTTTGCTAATATGTCTGCTATTTCATTGCCCTCATGCCCCTCGTGTCCCGATACCCACATAAGTGTAACATAGTTCCTCGATGCTAGGGTATTGAGAAGTTGAAAGCATTCCCAAACCAGCTTTGATTGGAATAAGGATTTTGCTAAAGATTTTAGAGCTGATTGGCTGTCTGATAGAATGCATATGTTGGTACCTCGGGTGCCCCTACGTATGCATTCTCTTGCACAAAGCTCTAAGGCATGGACCTCTGCCTGAAAAATGGAAGCAGTTTTTCCCATTGCGATTGCTTTACGGAAGTTTGGTCCCATAACTCCTGCTCCTGCACTGCCATTTTGGACCCATCAGTATACCATAATTGAGAGCCCTGCTTTAAGTTGATTTTATTATTTCTCCAAGTTGATCGGTCACTAATGACCACTTCGAATTCCCTGGAGAAACTTAATTTTCTATTCATCTTGTCAAAGACCTTAAGGCACGGAGAATTCCAGATTTCATCTAGAATCTTTGCGTGTCCTGTCAGAATCTTATTGAGAGTCATCTTAGCCTTCGTCTGATTTACCTTTGGCCACCATGCCAAAGAATCATAGGTGATCATTGGTAGTATTACGGTCTTGTACGACCAAGCCATCATTTTTGGTCGCAGACCCCATGTTTTACCATACAGTCTTTGGCACGCATAAGTTGCTCTTAGAGCTT